TAAAAATTTACAACAGCACATACACAAAGGAGCGTTACATGTGAGGAACAACACACCAAAATAAAAACAAAAACAAAACTGCTGTAAAACCAGGGAGGGGAAAAGTTTTACTTCCTAGCAGACATTGAAGTCTGCAGTTGGGACCCCCCTTTGAATTTGGTGGTGTTGCAAGTTAGAGTCCAGTATGCCAAGTAAAGAAAACTCTGCTGTCTCAGCATATCTTGGAGACAGCATATCTAGTTCCTCTACAGCTTTAAATGTTTGAGGGAAAGGTGTGTTCAAAGGTATTTTTATTATAATCCCTCTTATCATCAATAGTCCATTATACAAAAGAGATGAACAGAAAGTGAGGATGGGGGAAAAAAATCCACAAAGTTTGAAGAGGCAGGGACATAGACTACAAACACCATTTCATATTTTTAGTGTAAACTCAACCCCTGTATGTGCATCTAGTAGCTTGAGGAACAGCATCAAATGGGAAAAGCCCACAGCAGCAGCACTTCTTCATGGCAGAACATGGTTTCTCCCGTTAGATGGAAGCTAGCTGTGGCTGCTGCCAGCGGTGGACATAAGGGTAGATGGAAACTGAAGTCCATATTTTGCACATAAATTAAATCCCATAAACATTCCCTCCTTAACATAAATGAGGAGGGCTTCATCTCAGGGAGAAAGTGGACTCTTTGTAGGCTAACTGATCTAATGATTGGTATGCTGTATTTCCTATTTAAAAAAATACAGGATCTTTCTTGAAGAATAATTTACTATGTGTGTAACACCCACCTCAAAGAGAATTTTAACAAAACATTATAATAATAAAACATCAGCTTCTGCTTTTGCAGTTACACAAATTACCTTAATTCTAACACTTTGGGAAACTGTACAAACACAGTATGTAACCAGATGTTTTAATATTATTCATCATCCTTAACTTCTGAAAGTTTGGCTTATACTATTTTATCTCAAAGGAAAACTATATCTCATTTTCCCACAGAATTAATTCACCATCAAACTTTAAAAATCATTAAACAAAAGAAAAAGCTTTCCTGTAAGCCGTTACCAATAAAAAATTGCAATGCAAACACCTGCCAAGGCTTTGAGAAAATAATCAACAACTTACATAACCAGCATCTCATAAAACCAAAACCTTTTGAAGTACAAAGTTTAATTCTTCTTGCCTTCATAGTAACTGGTAATCAGAACCCTTCCCGTCCCAGGAACTGTTCTGGTTATGCAATACAACATATAGTACTTTCTAACATCAATAAATTACTGATGTGGCACAATGAATAAATAGATATTTTTTAAAATCAATGTGACTCAGGACTAGAACAGATATAATAGCACACTAAAATGATTTAATAGTAAAAAACTTTTTTAAATGTAATCTATCCTGGCCTTACATTAGTTGAAATTAAAAACCAAAGAATAAAATATAATTTCAAACCTATATACATCAAGATAGATGCCAGTTACAAAAATGTACTTTAATTGTAAATACTAGATTAAGCAAAAAATAATCTTACATCAATTTTATTTAACTTTAATAAATTTTCCCCAACTCTAATATTAATAACATTAAAAGAACTTAAGTTTTAATGGCAAAAAGTTCCTATGTTCCCCATCTGTTAAAAAAAGATTGTTTTCCCTTATTAACATACAATGCCCTATTGTAAGGCACAACTTTTTTAGGATAAAAATGACATCATAGATTAGGTTTATTTCACTTAATAGTTACAAGACAGACATTTTATAGACATATACTGAAAATAATTAAACATGTCTGAAATTCAACCAAGACCTAAAATGAAACTCATTGTTTCGATCCAGGAGCAATCAGCACCTAACCAAGGTAAATAATTGCAGCTAGAGTAATCCACGTAACTTCCTCTTTTTAACTTGCCAAAGAGTGTACCCATAAAGGAGTTTTCTAGGTGTTGCCAAGGAGAGGCAAGCTGGATATTCTTTTCTGAGGAAGAGGGGTGGCCCGCCTGCTTTCTTTTGTTTGGGTTACCACGGGCAGTTGTCACCTTCAAACCTGAGTGCAACCCGGTGTTTGAGTTCATATCTGAGGCAAGGGGAGAGTTCCTGATCAGAGATCAGGGCAGATGTTTGCTTTGGGTCTTCCCCTGCCACCCTTCTGTCTTTCCTCTTTCCCACCCTTTTCTTAGCCACCGCCCCTCCCCCACTTCCTCTGCCCCAGTTTGCACAACCTTGCAAGGGAGCACCCAGCAAACAGGAAGAGTTTGCACAGTTATTACCTAAAACACATAAACCAAAATGCTTATTTCAGTATACAGCTATAAACAACTCAATTTGAATATTAATTTAAAATAAAAATAAAAAACTACAATTGGGGGAAAGGGGACAATTGAATATCAAGTATAGATATGATGTATCTTGTAGATCCTTGTAATCTCAACTGAATCAAGGATTCAAGTAAGAAAACTAATAGAAAAAGCAAGTTTTCTCAAACGTGCTTATATACCCAACTCTCATACTTTCTGCATTTTCGTTCTTTGAAGGATGGGTGGGAAGAATTGCTTTGTAAAGACCGAAGCATGGATTAGATCTGACCGCCTAGAGCTCTGTGGTTTTGAGGGTGATTTTCCTTTACTTTTTCAGGGGAGTCTGAAGAGTAATGGTTAACTAGGTGGAAGCCAGGATCTCTCACTGGAACTTTACTGGAGTCTGAGTTCTACTGTAAGATAGCAGCAGCCAATCAATCCTGAGAGAAATCGGCCTATGAAAGAATTCCTGGACAAGGTTTGGGGAAGAGGAGAAGAAATGAGAACATTAAGGAACTAGGGAGATAAGGAATGAGGTAGAAATGAACGGAGGCAGAGGAAGGGGGCAGCTGATGGCTACTGAGGTTATTGATGCCGCTGCTTTTTACCGAATGTGATGTGTAAAATTCAATTTTAAGGGAAAACTGTCCTCTAAATAAGGACAAAGATGAAGGTAAGGGAAGACCAGGAGTTGGGAAGGCGAGGGTCACTAAAAGTAAACTATAGTTATTTTGCTATATTTTAGAAATAATTTACATAATTCTGAGAGATATTACATGGCTCACTTATTCATGAACGTGTTTGACTGGTATGTTCTGGCATAATAATGTCTCACATAAATAAATATAAATACTGTTCTTTGTAGTTATATTAGTTCTGTAATGTATATGAACTTTTAGAAACAAAAAAAATTAACAAACTTTCTACAAAAGCATTTAAAAAAAACATTAGTAACTAGACTATACCTAACAAATTATAAAAATAATGCATTTAACTGACAGCCAATATCTTAATTTTTGTACACAAGTCCTTCACAGTCATTATCTACATGCAAATTAATGAAATTAAAAATAAAACCAAGCAATCATGCTTGTTAATATGAACAAGTTTCATTTCCATTCAATAAGAAAGTTTTCATGTAATAGTGGGGGGAAAACCCAACTCTAATGAAATAAATTCCAGTTCCTACTATGCCAGCTCTATTTCCCTAAGTTTGACCATCACAATGACACATGCTTTTATACCACAATACTCTGGAAATAGCATATTTTGCCACCCTCCTTGAGAAAAAAACATTGCCTCATCTCATGGCTAAGTAAAAAGATGAGGTCTTCAACATTCTGTTTAGAATTCCTAAGTCTTGTTTTAAAATCAAATGTTCCAACTACCAAAATTCTTGAATAAATTTCCACTATTGAGGCCCACTACTCTACCAGATTCATGACCAGCTGCTAGAGATTGGGTGGGAAAATGTGCATCATACTAAATTCAATTTCCTAACAAGGAATCAAAGGGCTTTGGACAGTGTAATACACAAACCTAAAGTTGTATGCACATTCCACCAGGTGAGGATGTCCACTCTTTGGTCAGTTTTACCTCCAAGACAGGAAATAAATGGAAAGTTGCTTTTGGGTTGGAAGGAAGGAAGGAATCCATGAGAAATCCTTCTCCTTTATCAGTGTGTTATGGCATCTAAGGACATCCAAGTCACATGAAATAATAGTATTGTTTGCATACATCGAGTTTTCAGACATCACAATGAGAGAAATCAGGCATCCCAGTGATATTTCACAAAGCAAGGTTCCAGTTAGTGGTACAGTGAATATGCCACAACCTTTCTTCCAACCAGATTCTGCATGCTGAATAGAAAAATAATGCTTCAAAAATTAACTTCAACCTTCATTATTTTAATCTGAAGAACAACTATAAAATATCTCAAAATTTACTACTTTTAGAGTGTGATTAGGTTAGATCCATTTATTGATGGTAACAGCAACCGTAACTCATTCTCGATGAGAATCCCTATATACAAACCTGGTAAATTTTTTTAAAAAGTACTTAACGAAAATAATGAAAGCTACCTTAATTCATATAGTGTCAAATAACTTTCAATTAATAACACGTTTATATTTTGTAGTGCCTTCTAGCATATTTTGTACCTAATGAGAAAATGTCCCAAGATGCTAGTGCTAACCCTGAAATCTTAACCCAAACCTTACAAGTTGAAGACAAAAATGTTGGTCAAGAGGGAAAGAATGAAATCATGCACTGTCTACAGGGCAAATGAAAATAAACAGCAAGACATCAGAAAATATGAATCCATGGATACAAACCATTTTTCTTGTAGAAACAAAACTCACACACAAAGACTACAGCAACCACCATGTACCTGTATTCTCTACTGGCTGGTGAACCCATTATTAAAATTTCAAAGAAAAAAAAACAATTTAAGCTTTTTCTATTTAATCCATAAGAAATATTCAGGAACAGATAAATAGAAAATTTGTTGCATATTAATGAACGTGTGGCTTCTTGTGCTTTCCATCTGAATTAGGGGTAAAAACCCTAAATTACTTTGTTTTTAATGAGATGTTAAGTATAAAGTAATATTAAACATCTATACAAAATCAATCCTTTCTTCAGCCCAATTCTACATGAAACTACTAACAGTGAAGATTCATGATGTTGTGTGAAAATGGTGACTCATTACATTGCACTCAGCTATAGATTTTAATTCACACATACACTCTCTCACACACACACATATGCACGCCTTGTGTATGACAGCTGTTCAAAAATAGTCTCAAAAATAAAGACAATACTTGAGACACGAAGCAACCCATCTTCCCTGATCTTGCATCCTATTACAAGGAAGGTAAGTCTCTGATGCTTCATAAATACTTTAAAAAGTTCAGGATGGCCTTAACCGTGCAGTCTCCACCGATCACTTGAAGCCTCCAGCATTTCATGCTGACCATAGCTCTGGAAGAGCTGTGATCTGTAATTAACTTCGCTTATTTATGTCCTGTCTTCTCCAGATCTGGGAGTTTTCTGACCAGAGCTTGGTGGTTCAATCTGATGCTAGCCAGGAGCCCTCCCTCAATGCCATCAGAACCGGTGTAACTGATTTCTTCACCACTCAGGGTAGTCATATGACCCCCGAGGGCTTTTAAGATGGCATTGCCAGCACATATATCCCACTTTTTGATGTATGTCACATGAATATATAGATCAGCTTTTTCTTGACTCTTATCAGGCACATCCAAGAGTGCTAAAACTTTATAACCTAAAAGATAAACACAGAATTTAGGTTACTGTTGGAAAGACTTAAAGTAGCTTACTTTTTTAGCACACTTAAAAATAACAGCACAGGGTGTACAGGAGCTCTCTGTAACTGCCAAGTCTAAAATTATTTTTCAAATGGTTTGTTCAACAAAGTAACAGCACAGACATTAAACTCAAATGAACAAAAAATATACCGCAAAGCAACTTAATAAGTTATTCAAGCCCTGGCCGGTTTGGCTCAGCGGTAGAGCATCAGCCCGCGGACCAATGAATTGTGGGTTTGATTCTGGCCACGGGCATGTACCTCAGTTGCGGTTCGTCCCCGGTCCTGGTTGGGGTCGTGTGGGAGGCAACCAGTCAATGTGTCCCTCTCACGTAGATGTTTCTCTCTCTCTCTCCCTTTCTCTCCCTCTCTTCCCCTCCCATTCTGTCTGAAGATAAATAGAAAAATATCCTCCGGTGAGGATTAAAAAATAAGTTATTCAAGTATAACCAAATATATGCCTATAAATTTTTTAATTTACATCTACTTTGTAGTTTTCTATGAAATAATATATTAAGTACATATAATTTCCTATGGAATATTATACTGAAACTAAACACCCACAGGTTTCACTTGGAACATCTAGAAAGGCCGGATTTGAAAGAAGAGCATACAGAATAACACTACTATCTTATATCCTCTCTGCAATAAGATAAAGATTAAAAATAAAATAATAAAATAAGACAACCACAGAAGAAACTGGGTCTAGAACCTGGTTTATCTCATCCCTACTGAGTATTTTGACCATTACCTTCCTTAACCAATCTAACAGAGAGCCTATAAGAAAATAATAAAGTCATATTATGAAAAGCAGATATATGTAATCAGCAAACTAAAACCATTCAGTTTAAAAGTTAAAGCACTATTTTCCCTACTGAAAAGGTCTTCAAACATCATTGTTTCTGACCATTATTTACTATTTATTTTAATTAAAAGACTTTTATAATATTAAACAGTATTCAAAACAAAGGGTGGACAAATGGCCCATGAGCCAAATCCAGGCAATGGCCTATTTTTATACAGACCTCAAAATAGAAATTATTTTTATATTTTGAAAGGGTAGTTTAAAAAAATGAAACAAAACAAAGACTGGCACGTAACATAGACCATATGTGGCTCACTGGCCTAACATATATACGCTCTAGCCTTTCAGGAAAAGCCAGCTGACCCCTAAACTATAATACGAGCAATACAATAGTAAGAATATGCATTAAACTAGTGGGTGGGCAGCAGACTCACTGGCTCACCCCAGACATGGCAGCTGAGCTCAGGGGTGGTAAGAGTGACCCAGAGATTAGCCACTGTAACAACACTGAGGGTGATTCCTGGCACCCGGCTGCCACGTGAAGCACCGTGATGTACCTGGATCTTCTCTTCCTGATACTCCCAGATTTAAACTAATAGGAGAATTACTTTGAAATCAGATCAGATATAAAACAACCATTGACAGTACATCACTGACAGGAAGATGCCTTTGTAGTATTCGAGGAACAGAAATCACTATTGTGAAACTGTTTGTTTCCGCTGGGAGACTGGTTCCTTCAAGAGGCATGGACGACTGAAATCGCACCCTAGGAATAACCAAGTAGGTTATTGAAAGTGCACTGTCTACTCTCATTTTCTTCCCAAGCATGTGGCAACCAAATCTTTCTCTTGACATACACCCTGACCATTCTGGGAGCACTTTATGGGCATCAAAGGGAGCAGAAACATACCAGCACCACCAGCCGGGATAATTGTAGTTTGGTTTCCAAAAGTCTGAAGAGCAACCTGTTTGACCATTCCTGAATGGGAGCGAGACACAACGATCCTTGGGGTTTTCTCGTTGTAGGAAGAGCGGGCTTTCACATTTGACCCACCATCTACCATTGCCCAAGCTGAAAAACAAATATAATATCCATTAATAGCACTGGAGTTTTAAAAATTACAACTCAAAGAGTTTGGAAAAATAAATATTCTCTTCTACAGTTACCTGTATTTTTTTCCCAAAACATAAGCATTATTTTTTTCTGAGGACAGAGTAATACGTTTATTTTTTACATTAAAATAGGCATATATTATGACAAAGCTAAAAAAAAGGCGATATAATCCTGCTCAGCCAGAGATAATAACTACTAAACATTTGGCTTAAGAACTCCTAGGCTCCAGAGCTCCCTGTGGGTGGCGGCTGAGTCTTCACTGGGATCACAATGCAACTCAACTTCTTGCACCTAATCTAGCTCCCTTCCCTCCCTCACACAGATGTAAGCTCAAGAGCACCCCTAGTAAACATTCTGCAGGCCAACATCTATCTCAAAGTCTGATTCCTGGAGGACCCAATCTGTGATAAACTATGACATAAGCACAACTACTTTCCCCGGATTATTTAAATTTTAAAATTATTAAAAAGATGAGTTAGGTTCACATTTCTGCTTTGTCAAACAATATAAAAAGATAAAGTTCTAGATTTCAAAAGAGAACAGAAGTTTTTAAAAAGGGAGACTCTAGAGATGGCTTGAAATATTTTTCTTCTTTAGAAGTTTTCTTCACTGTTTAACAGACTATACCCAAAAAACAAATTTTCTCAGAATTACACTGATTAGACTGTTATTCTAGCAGTCACTCGCTATGGGATAAAATATAGTTGACCATGGCTAGCAATCAAAGTAGCTGCATTACTACATATTCCTAGCTGCAGAAAAATAAAAAGAAAAAAAACGAAGAGTCTATGTTTTTTAGTTCCCCAAGAATGATGACAGTTTTCTAGACTCTTCTCACACTTCATTCGAAAAACACCACATAGCAACAAGGAGAATAAACACAAACACCTTTAATCAATGCCTGTAAGTAGAAGAGAGAGGAGAGCTATCAATTCAGATTGACAAGAAGGGGAGTAAATAACGACGATCCCAACGTGGGGAAAACGGCAGGAGCTTCACAGAAGTGCCAAGAGGTCAGAGGATCTCAGTGGTGTAAGAACGTCAGCCACGATTCCGTCCCAGAAGGAAAAGGTCCCTTCTAAAACGAGAACTTCTGAAAACAGGCCTGAAAATTGGCAACAGAGCAGTGAGAAGAGGCTTGGAGAAGACCTGAAATCAAAAGCGAGGTCTTAATAACACACTGAATGATGTACAACATATTTTAGGATGTCTTCCCAAAAGAGACAATTTGAAAGATAGCAAATAAAACTAAAGAGAATAAAAACAGGTTGAAACAAGAAGAGATCAAACAAGAAAGAGGAAATGTGAAAACAGAAGGTGCCAGATAATAAAGATAATGTCTTCCTCGTGCTAACAGAAAAGACACTGAGAATCACCAGCCTCAGTAGCTGGCCCAAATATAAAAAAATATAAAACCACAATGTCCATTAAAAAATACAAGAAAACACAGAGAATAAAGATTAAAACATTTCAGGCTACTTGAAAATTTCTACAAAGCAGAAAAAAACTATAATACAACATTCCAACACCATTAAAAATAAATAAGCGACAAAAATAAAAAATGCTATGAAACAAACTCAAGAAAAGATGAACAAACAATAGAAAAACATGAAATGGGAACTCATAACACAGGAAAGAAAAAGATAACAAAATCACTGCAGACTCAGCACCAAACCACAGAACACACAGGACAACAGACTAGTCCAGAAGCACAGCGGAGACAAGCAAAACGTTTAAACAAATAAAAGAAACCAGAGAGAGAGAGAGAGAGACAAAAGTCAGTGAAAGAAAAGTCAAACATACATTAGGAGTCCCTTAAAAAAAAATAATGAAATAGAACTAATCTTTAAAATTATGATTCAAGAAAATGCCCCTGAAATAAAAGAAGGCCTAAATGTCCACACTGAGAGATGCACTGTGTAGATATCTGCCCCGAAGGCAAACTCTGAATCTGAGATATATCATAGCTCTATTACTAGATTTTTAAAATAAAGCTCTTTGGTGCTCTAGGTAAAAAGGCCAAGCCCCTTACAAAAGAAAATAAATTATCAGCCTTTTTGCCAACAAGAATCAACATGTGCCCACACAAATATCACAGCAGTTCAACAGTTTCTACGCTACCCAAGATAAAAGGGTATAAGATGGGTGCAATGAATAAATAATTGTTAATTTAAGAGGAAACCAAAGATAGGTAAAAGGTGTAAGAATAAAGACGTATAAATGTTATCTCCGAGTTGACTGGTGAGAGTCAAAAGATACATTTAAATCTGAAGACGTAAATAATAGTGTAGAAAGTCAAACATCAAAAAAAAAAAAAAAGATATGACTGATTAAAATGGAATGGTGGTCAAGTAGGAGGCTAAAATAAGCTAACTTCATTATTGCTCACAGAAGAGAACAGATAATACCTAAAGAAAAGAACCATATAATGGTACATATTAAAGTGTTAGTAAAAGTGAGCAACAACAAAAACAAAGTTAACTTAAGAAGTAATAACTCTAGCTTCAGTCACACTGAATATATAAAAATCCCTCACACGTATATATATAAAAAAGGAGAAGGCGCGCTCTTCCCCCAGCCCCAAATTAACACTTGTTCTCACTGGAGGTAGTTGTTACCCTAACTCCTTATTGAAAACTGGTACAGGAAAAGAGTTAAATGTTTACCTTATAAGAACAACATTCCAAGATAAACAAATAACTTCAGTTGATAGAGAAATTTCCCTTATTAAAAAATTCCAGCCCATATATTTAGAAAATCCCATTTTATATTTTTAATAGATCACAAAACTATTATGTGAAAAGTTTAACAGCATCTTGATTTCAAATGGTGCCAAAATCACTTCAGATTACCTGCTGGTAGCAAGAGAATCAAAATTTTATATCAGAGATCTGGTTAAAATCACCTTAACCATCTACCAGCATCACCATGATGACATGATATTACATGTCATGTAATGTTATGCAGTAGAAGTACATGAAGAATATCTACAATGCATTCTTTTCTCTTTAAAGAAGTTTATTGATTTTTTAGAGAGGAAGGGAGAAAAATAGATGTGAGAGTGTAAACCGATCAGTTGCCTCCTATACACCCCCTAATGGGGACTGAGCCTGCAACCCGGACATGTGCCCTGACCCAGAATCAAACCAGCAACCTCTTGGTGCACAGCACAACACCCAACCAACTGGGCCACACCAGTCAGGGCAGCAATGTATTCTTGACAAAAATGCTTAACCTTAATTCAATTAAGGCTCTAGAACTAATCTGCACTTTATAAGAAAAAGAAGATGTAAAAATAAGTTAAATGACACCGTGAGATAAAAGAATCCAAAGGGCAGGACATTCTATAAAAACTGACCTGGTCTTCTCAGGGAGTCAATATGATGGGGGAAAGGGGGCTGGGAGTTGTTCTAGATTAAGAGAATATAACACGGCAACCTAACAAAAAAACACGCTTGTCACTTTAACGGATCTTGGTTTGAAGCAACTAGATGTAAAATTCACTTTAGAACAATTGAGAGAACTGTGAATATTGGATCAATTAAAGAATAATTTTTATTTTAATTATTTTTCTTTATTGATTTAGAGAGAGAGGAAGGGAGAGGGAGAAAGACATAGGAACATCAATAAATGAGAACATTGACTGGCCGCCTGCTGCATGCCCCCACTGGGAATCGGACCCACAACTTGGGCATGTGTCCTGGCTGGAAATCGAACTGGCGACCTCTTGGTACATAGGTCGATGCTCAACCACTGAACCACACTGGCTGGGCTAAAGAATAATTTTTAATTTTATTATTATATAAATAGTTCTGTTCTTTGTAGAAACATATCCTCTTTTAGAGATGCATACTAAAGTACATTCGGGTAAAATGTCATGGCCCTTGTAATTCTCTGTAAAGTAAAAATGTCAAAAAAAAAAGCAATATATAAAAATATTATCAACTGTGAAATCTAGATGAAGGAATACAGCAGTCCCCTTATCTGCCAGGGATACATTCCAAGACCCATACTGGATGCTTGAACCACAGTAGTACAGAGCCCCTTTCTTGTATTAAATGTCTAATACATAAAAAAGTTAAAGTTTAATTTATAAATGAGCAACAGTAAAAGATTTACAACAATAACTAACAATAAAAAAGACCAATCATAACAAAGATGATAATAAAAGTTCTATGAAAGTAGTCTCTCTGATGACCAAGAGGACTCGGGCGGGCAGCGTACGTGGCACGGAGGGAAGAGTGGACAAGAGAATGAGTCACAGCCCGGGTGGGCTGAAGCTAGACGACGCGAGATTTTATCACACTACTCAGAAGGGAGAGCAATTTAAAACTTATGAACTGTTTATATCTGGAATTTTCCATTAATAATTTTGGGCTGTGGTTCATCTCAGGAAACTAAACCACAGAAAAGGAAACAGCAATAAGGGAAGACTACTGTATATAAAAATGAATTAAAATTTTAAGTTTAAAAGTATTCATAATAAAACTTTAAAAAAACAACTAAGAGAAGAAAAAATAAAAATCCTCTCAATTTTTTTTAGAAATGATTCAAAAATATTTTACTAAGAAGTAAATTTACAATGCTATATCCCTAGGGGTCAGTGTTGTGTAAGAGAATAAAGACAGCATTATCCCAATAGATACTACCAGAATAATTTTAGATAAAAATTACTAATTTTGTATTTTAAAAAACATACTGTATTGTTAAATAAATTCAACACAGTTATAACATTTCTATGGGCAAAATTATTTCAATCACCAATCACCTTAAAAAATACAGTAGGTATTTAAATACTAATGATTGATGAGGAGGAGGTAGTAGTGATAATGTAAAGTAACAGCTAACAGAATGTTTATTTACTCTGTAAGATTTGCTCAAAAAATGTCTGGCAGGAAATAAAAAGTGGTTGGTACTTTGCTACACAGACTTCAGACATTATAGCTTATTTTTAATAGCTACAAATTTTCACTGAATACATTTATACATTACTTCATTAAAACACTACTCAAGTACTCAAGTATTTCTTGCTTCTAAGAATTTCAAACTCAATGAATTAATTCTGGTTAAATCTGATAAGAATTTTGATCAGCATTGCTCTGACTGCTGCCAATAATATCTACCTCCCATTCATTATAGTCGTGTTGCTGAATTCTGGTAAACATACAATATTTGACAGTTGGTATTCTGCCAACATCAATATACAGTCTGGATCTGAAAATAACAGTCCAAGAATAGGGCACACTAAATAAACCTCTGATTCATGAATAGAAGTCAACCTACACCTAATTAGACTGCTGATTATTTTGAATATTTGCTGACTAACAAGCAACTTATGTTCCTAAAGCTGCATCTCAGAAGAACAGGGCATTTTATTAGTCAATTACAAAGACATTTTTGGAATATGAGTTATTCTTATAAGTTAGAGACTTCTGGCTTTTTTATTCTACGGAAGGTAGGAAGGTAAGCCTATGAGGAGAAATACATATTCTTATAAAATAAAGATTATTTTAAAATGGGCATTTTACTATCCAATTTTCCCCCTATAATGAACAGATGTGGAAACTAGGGCCCAAAAAATGTGAATCTATTTGCCTATGTGACATCAATTTCCTCTGCATTTCCTTTATTATAGTTCTAACTCTCTTTGAAGTAGCAGGCTGTTTGTAGCTAAGGGTGCCATGTGACATCTGGCCAATGATATGAAGCAGAGTGCTCAAGTTAATTAACAAAGAATAGCTGGCATAGATCTTTTGTCTGTCTTTCCTCTTTCTTCCTGTCTAGAATAGACCCACAGAAATTGGAAGCACCCATCTTTGAGCATGCAAATTAAAAATCTTCTTCTAAGCCAAAAGGAAAAACAGAAAAGTCAGCTTAACAGTATCATAAAGCCACTAAACAATCCCTACTCTTTGGCCATCTTATTAGGTGAGAAAAATAAAGTTCTTCCTTGTTTAACCACTATAATCAGATTTACTTTATATGCAGCTAAATGAAATCCTGACACAGAAGAGGAAATGAGGAACACTGTCAAAAGAATAAGAGGGTTTCAAAGACTTAAGTCCTGTTCTTAACTTATATATGCCTGCTCTCTTTATTTAAAAAGTCACTATAATTCCTGTTTTATGTTCTTTCCAGAATTATTTTAAGGCTGAAGTAAATTTATGTCAATACATTTCATAAACTATGAAATTACAAAACAAATGTGAGATATTTAAAAAGAATAGCTCTTATTGGCCTGTGGTCCAGAGAGACCCGGGTTCGGTTCCCACTAAGGGCACGTACCTCGGTTGCAGTTTGTCCCCAGCCCTGGTTGGGTCATGCAGGTGGCAACCACTCGATGTGTCCCTTTCACATCAATGATTCTCTCTCTCTGTCTCTCCCTCCCCCTCTATCTGAACAAAATATGGAAAAATGTCCTCAGGTGAGGATTAAAAATAAAAAAAGAATAGCTCTTACAGTAACATTTTTTAATGAATGGTTTTCATGGTTAAGAGCTGGTAAGCCCTTTTTCATCTATAACAAAGACAATAATATTTTTCCTTATCACATAGAGTTGTCAAAAGGTTCAAATGAGATAACATTAAGTATATTGCAAACTTCCAAATACTATATAAATGTTAGTAATCATGGAATTATTATAAAAGTGATGTGCTAGACTGATTTCCATAAAATTCCTGGATTGATTGTCTAATTTAGCTGGATGAGCTTGAGGAATGCATCAATTTTCTGAGTCTCACTGTCTCATTTCTAAGCAGGATACTAACAATAATTATGTCCTTCACTCACAAGCTATATTAAGTGTGCTAGTACCGCTAAATTATACTCCAATACTGTTTTTCCTGAGTAACAGAATCCCTGAATTTAGCTTCGATGGCCACTTGAAAATAATAACTACATTTCTTAGTCTCCCTTGAGGCTAGATTCCAGCTATGTTTTGATCAATGGGGTGTGAGCTGATGTGTGAAACATACAGGTCAAACCCTCAGTGGGAAATGTCCTCTAAGACCTCCTTTTCACCCTCTCCACGGGTGAAATGTGGGTGAAGCAGTGAGCCATCCTTAGTCATGCAGAGGAGGGCGACACATTTTAGTACAGCAGAGCAGCAAGAGAGAATGGCCTATGTGCTGGTACCAGGGAGCTGTCATGACAGCCCTGATCTGCTTATACAGGCTGTTAGAGAACAGAGAAATAAACCTTTTTTTTCAACCTCTTGTATTTTGGTGTGCATTATTACAGCAACCTAAATTAGCAGCCTAATCTGTATCCTAACTAATTCAGTAAGTATTAAAGAAAATGTGAAAGCAATCCATAAACCATAAAGCAATTACATAATTAATCTATGTCACAGTAATAACATAAAACTGTTGTAACTCATCAAACTGTCAACTTTAAAAACTATTTGGATTATAAAATAGATATAATGTCAGATACCCCAAAGTAGACTTGGCTTTGAAATGCAGAGCCAACAGTCATATGTTTAGTCTATCTCAGAGCAGACAGAATTGGGGATACAAGGTTATTCTGCAAAGTAAATAAATGTATAGTAATCAAACCTTAACCTTGTCTCTGTTTCTCTCCACTTCACAGTCTTTTTATGCCATTCCACTGAGACATAAGAGATGCTGGAGTAAACAACAGAATTGTAGGGATGCCTGGTGTACTGGTTTCCTAGAGCTGCTGTAACAAATTACAAATTTGGTGCTTATGGCAGGAGAAATTTGTTTTCTCACAATCTGGAGGACAGAGGTCCCAAATCAAGATGGTGGCAGGGTTTGTTCCTTCTGAATGGTCTAAGGGAGAATATGGTTGCCGCCTCTCTTCCAGCTTCTGGTGGCTGCCAGCACTCTTGGTGTTCCTTAATACGCATCACTCTAGTTGCAGCCTCCACCTTCACATCGCTTATCCCATGTGTGCGTGTATTCTGTTCCTTATAAGAATACTCTCATTGGTTTAAGGCTCACCTTAATCCAGGATGATCTCCTCTTGATATTTACCTTAATTATATCCACACAAAGACCTTATTTCCAAATAAGGTTGCATTCTGAAGTCAATGTTGTTATGGGTTGAATTTTGTTCCCCCAAAAGATATGCTGAAGTCCTAACCTTCAGCACTTCAGAAACTGGCTTTATTTGGAAATAGGGTCCTCACAAATATGATTAGTTAAGATGAGGTCATGCTGGAGTAGGGAAGGCTTTTAATCCAACATAATTCATGTCTTTATAAGGAGATAAGAGACACAGAATCACAGAGACACAGGAGAATGCCATGAGATGATGGAGGCAGAGACTGGAGTGATGTATTTACAAACCAGGGGACACTATGAATTGATTTTTGGCAAAATACCAGAAGCTAAGAGAAAAACATGGAAGGATTCTCCCCTACTGGTTTCAGAGAGCATAGTTCTGCCAACATCTTGATTTTTGGACTTCAAGCATTCAAAACTGTGAAAGACAAATGTGTTTAAAGATACAGAATTTGTGTGTTTGTGTGTGTGTGTTTTATGGTAGTCCTAGGAAACTAACAATACTGGGGTAAATGTGATTTTGAGGGGGACAGTACTCAACCTACTACAAAGAAGATGTCACCAGCAAGAACCTTAACATCTTGGGTAATAATAGAGCCAAAATGGCATGATCCTTGCCTTAAGTTTTTGATGGGAGTTACCAATGAAAAGTATGACAATTCCCTTCAGACTGTGAGCAAAATTGCTTACACCAATAATTAACTGTTTCCCTCAACTTCTCTGCTATGACAACTCATGGTAACATTGTGGACTGAAGACCATGACTAGCCTCTCTGCACAGGCAAACTGCAGTATAACTGCTGCAGTGACACCAAAATGTCATTCTGGAATCGACTAGCCCTGGTAAGGCTTTGGGGCAAGGTCACTCCTAAACTGAATGGGAAGCTCTCTGGCATGGTCTTCTACACTCACTCCCAACACGATCATCAAGGATCTGACCAGCCATGCGCAGGAAGCTAACAAATATGGCTTTATCAAGAAGGTAGGTAAGCAAGGGTCCAGGGCTACAAAGGGATTAGCCTATTAAGATTTTCACAGTGACACCATCTATTTTTGATGCTGAGGGTTGGCACTGCCTACCCACCATAATATGCCCCTAACCACTACTACATCAAGCTCATTTCCTGATATGATAACAGCTTTTGCTAAGGCCACTTCAGGATGAACCTCAGCTGCTGGGGAGTCCATACCAGCTGTATTCTTCAATCCACTAAGAATCTCTCATCTTCAATAACAGTGTCTGTCCTCTAAAGACAGTCTAGACAACCCTGCTTTATCATGTATTGAGTACCAGCAATAAAATCTTCACTGTATCCAGTGAAGGTGAGGTAGGGTAGGGGATTGACTAATAATTACTGAGGTACAATTGAGATTCTGACAGGACAGTAAGGACCACAGACAAATGATTTAATAACATTAACTCTTGCTCTAACATATTTCTTACCTGTATACTCAGAAAATGGCTTGTGTATTACTCCTACAACAGGTTTACCATTTACAGCCACACAAACCATAGTAGTGACATACTTTCGAAGATCCTCTATGAGAAATAAACAAACACAATTGTCAAAGTAACATACATAAATGTAGGATACAATGTCATACTTTATTTCATTAAAAATGTCTGTACATTTTATAAAATGTCTTTCATAGTCAACAATCCCCTCAAGCAAACAGTCTAGTAGTTAGAGCCAGTTTAAAGAACTAGTTGAGTTTTGGTTTTATAAGCAAATTACCTGGGTTATTCTCCCATTGGTTATTCTACCATTTTATTAACTGCAAATTCAGTTTCTTCATGTATAAAATACAGATACTAATTAAGTACCCATCTTCAAATATTAAAATAAGTTTTAATTTTAGTAATAATTTAAAAATCAAGTTAAGTATGTAGAATAGTCTCTATGTAAAGGATTAGCTCACTAAATATCATCACTATTATATAATCATGCCTACCTCAGTTTAGGAAAACCTTTTTATAAACAAACCCCTCAATATTCTATATTTCTATTATCTACCCCTACAAAATAGTTTTATCATTTCAGGTACTATTAGATATACAACCTAGTATCTTCTCCCTGTTCTCCAAATAGTTACCTATTGAGTGTCTATTAAGGGTCAAGTTCAGTGTTTAAGCGGTAGAATACCAAGATGACAAAGCGGAAGCCTCCACATCCAGAGGACTTCCCATCTAGAAGGAAGACAAATGTATAAGCAACCAACTCTAGCATATATACCAAGAGAACAGAGAAAAGGCAAGAATTAAATATCTCTAGGTAAGAAACAAGGCAGGGGGAGGATCCATAGAAATGAAATCTGAACTAACACTAGGTAAAAAGAATGAAAACGGGGTGAGGTGGTAATGCTCTGTTTTGCTAATCACTTGCTCTCTGGGTTTACTATTTTTAATTCCAACGGTGGATATACAAGCCATAAAATCAAAATTCCCACTAACACAGGTATTGTATTCCGACTATATAAATAAATACCTCAATAACATATATCTTAATATATAGATAAACACCTCAATAAATAAATGTCCAGCCCTGGTTGGTTTTGCTCAGTGGTTTGAGCATGGGCCTAAGGACCGAAGGTCTCAGGTTCGCTTCCTGGACACCAGCAAGTACCTGAGTTACAGGTTTGATCCCTGGCCCTGGATGGGGTTGTGTAAAAGGCAACCAATTGATGTGTCTCTCTCATATTGATGTTTCTCACTCCTTCCCTTCCCCTCTAGCTAAAAATCAATGTAGCCCGGCCGGCGTGGCTCAGTGGTTGAGCGTTGTCTCATGCACCAAGAGGTCGCCGGTTTGATTCCTGGTCAGGGCACATACCCAGGTTGTGGGCCCAATCCCCAGTGGGTGGTATGGAGGAGGCAGCCAATAAATGTCCTCTCTCATCGATGTTTCTATCTCTCTCTCCCTCTCCCTTCCTCTCTCTCTTTCTAAAATCAGTAAAAAGAAAAAAAAAATCAAATCAATGGAAAAATATCCTCGGGTGAGGATTAACACACACAGACAAATAATTCAGTGTCCAATAGGAATTATTTTGTTGTAACTGCTAAAACTTCCCTTCACTGAAGAATCAGTGACAATGATGAGCCACTATCACGAAAGAGCATGGCATAAACAAATTGGTTTGGGGCAGGGTGGTGGGGGCAGGGAGGGTACTAAAACTATCCAATCTGGTGCAAATGGTTCATATGACACTACATTAATCCAGCTCTCTGTCTTAAAATCTAATGGAAAAGTTGTCTGAGATTGGTAAAATGTCTACCACCATGTATACACTACCTGCCCTCGTTATGGTTCTGATATATAATCTAAAGTTTGTGATCAATTTTCATTTTAAAATTACCCGTATATTCCTGTGTAGCATCAAGTGGGTCGATCCAGACAGTAACACTTTCTGCTGGTACCTCTTTAGGGGTAGCTATTTCCTTCAGGATGTCCTCAGGAATTTGACGATCCCATAAGATAACCTCCTGATCGGTTGCATCCACATGTTCCTCCGTATTTATCTGCATCAAAAATAGGCAATAGCTAAAAATTTTTTAGAGTAAGAAAAGAATCACTACCTGAGAAAGCACAAAAGAGAAAAACATTTCAGACAATATCACATAAACTGAAAGAAGGTAAATCAATATTTTTGTTTATTTCAAGGCATTTCATTGAAAAATGAAACTATATTGTCAAAGAAATTGCAGAAATATTTTGTCTTCCAGCACTTTCCAATCTAATATTCAAGCTTAGTTCGTTGTTTAAGCAAGACAAAGAATCCAAATATAAAGAAATATAAAGTAAGCTTCAAAGAAACAAGCAGGGTACTGTGCTTTCTGTCAAGTTCCCTTTCCAAAGTAGATCAATGTGTGTATACTGAAAGTGATGCCATACCTAGACCCCATAGTACAGTGTCACAGTGACTATAACACTGACAGTACATGAGCAAAAAGTCACGAAAACGCACAGCTATTAGCAATCTCCAGAAAGTACTCTGAAATATCCCAGACTGTCATCAAAGAAATTAAAAATAGTAATATTCCTGAAACACCAAGCCACCTAAATCATAAAATATTTTAGTACAGTGTATAGTAAACATCTAATTCATCTGTTCATTTTTTCCTGTATTGATTTAGCAAATGTTTACTGATTACTTACTATATACCAAGCATGTACGATGGTGATCAATGTGAGACAAAATTCTCTGTCTTTGCAGAGCTCAAGATTCTAGTGAAGGAGATAAACAATATACAAAATAAATAAACCATGTGGTATGCTAAAGAAAATAAAGTAGGGAAGAACAGGAAGTATGTATAGAAGAGTAGAAGGAGGATTGTTCTTTAACATAAGGGTGGCTAGTATTATTCATAATGGCCCCAAATTGAAAACTACCAAATGCCCATCAACTGATGAATAAATAAAATGTGGTACACATCTATACAATAGAATATTATTCAGCCATAAAGAGAAATGAAGTACTGATTCATACTACAGCATGGATAAACCTCAAAACATTATACTAAGTAAAAAAAGCAGACACAGAGACTACATACTGAATGATTCCATTTATGTGAAATGCCTAGAACAGGCAGGTCTATGGAAACAGTAGATTAGTGGTTGCCTAGGGCAGGGGGTAGAACAGGGATTAGCAGTAAATGGGCACAGGGACATTACTAGGGTGATGAAGTTTTTCTAATACTGACTAATGACAATTCATCAAGTTCACCCAAAACAAATGAACTGGACATTTGAAATGGGGCAAATTATATGATATGTAAAATATGCTGCAATAAAGTTGCTGTTATAGTTAGTTTGTTTTTAAAAGACAGGGCAGCTGAGAAAGGCAACATTGAAAAGGTGGTATTAGAGTGAATATCTAAAGGAAGTGAGGCTACCAAATATCTAAAAGATGCACACTCTAGCCCAAGGAATAAAAAACCAACGGCACTGAAGTGAGAGTGTGCCTGATGTATTCAGAGTACAGCAAGGAGGCAGGCATGGCTCCCGCAAGTGAGCCCAGAAAGGAGTTAGAGATGAGGTCTGAGTTCAGACAGTAATGGAAGTCATCATGCAAAAACCAAAAAAATAATACTATGCATTGTATACAAAAAAAATTGTGGTTTAAACTGCCACCTATCCCTCGTTTGGATTCCTAAAACAGCCTTTGATTGCTCTTGCCTCCTACAGTGTATTCCTGAATTCATTCATTCATTCAACAACTATTTAATGACTACATATTCTAAAATGTTCTGGATACTGAGACAAAAATCACTGCTTTTATGGAGCTTCCCTTCTTAACCCAGCAACCTGCCATCTTCCTGAATGAGACTGATTATATTACTCCCCACTTAAAACTTTCTAATTTCTTATTACAGAGATAAAATGCAGACTGCTTCTATCATCTATAAGGATGATGTGGTCCCAGCAACCTTTCTCTACTTGCACTCTTATTCACTACATTCCAGACTTGTCTTCTGGTTCCTCAGCCTCAGGGCCCTTGCACTTGCACTCTTTTGCTCATAATCTCTTTTACCAAATCTCTGCCTGATGGCCTGCTTATCACTGAGCTCTTAGCTCACAAGACAGTGCCTCAGATTGGCCTTCCCAAACCACCCATGGCCAAAGCAGGATCCCCCTGTCACTCTTCCCACATGTTCTTATTTTTATTTCTTCAAAGCTCTTACCAATATGAAGTCAACTTATTTGTTTACACATTAACTATCTATTTTGACCCACTAGAACACAAGAACTGTGAGTTCAAAGACAGTTTCCTTCATTACTGTAGCCTCATCCCCAATGCCTAAACCAGTGCCTTAATAATAGGTGCCAAATAAATAGTTCTTGATTAACAACATTATTGTTCACTAATGTGGTTTCATCTCTTCTCCATAACCTTTTCCACTCAATCTATTCCCCCTCCTTCATCACTGCTGCCTATCTGTCCCAGTCCTCAACAGAAAACCAAAGAATTACAGAGCAGGATTCCAAAACACAATTAATGTTCTTTACATGACAATTCAGTTACTTTGGGGTTAAAGAGGCTTTTGGTTAATACCTTAAGAAAGTATCATTTACTGCATTTCCCCATAAAACATTAAATCTCAATAAATGTTTAGATATAATGCCTCACACTGTGCCTATCACACAGTAGGAATTCAATAACTATTTTCTAAATGGATAAACATTGCTTTGCCTGTCTTAGTCTTCTACCTTTTTCTATAGACTATTATCTCTCAAATATATCCCTATAAATATACAGGCTCCAGTGTCTCACAATTAAAAACAAACATACCATACACACACACACACATATACACACACATACACACACACACGTATATATATACATATATACATATATGGAGAGAGAGAGAGAGAACCTTCTGTTAGTCCCACATAACACCACAGCCAAGTTCCTTAAAAGCACGGTTTCTTGAAAGATTTGTCTTTACTCCGTTTCCTTCTCCTTACCTCACATCTTCTTCAATTTTGCTTCCTTCCCCATCAAGCCACCAAGGAAGCTCTCACAAAGTTCCCCACTGATCCACATACAGAACCATTATCAAGAGTATGTGTTCTATCATCAGAATTCCAGTTCCTCCATTTATTAGGTATGTGACTTAACTAGGCTAGTCAGCTAATCTTTCTAAACTGCAGTAACCAATTGCTAAAAATGAGTGACAAATATATCTCCCTACAGGGTTCTTTGGATGACTCAATGACATAGAAAAGTAAAACAAACAGTACAGTGCTTAACACAGAGTAAGCATTTAATAAAAGTTGGCTGCTATTATTATTAAGTAATTATTTTCAATCTTTGTTATCCTTGGGCATAGGTCCTCATCTTCCCCTTTCACACAATATTCTTTCACTAAGCAATTCTGTTCACAATTGGTCTCAATTAATATCACAACATTTATGACTCAGAAATTTGTATTTCTAATTCAGAAATCTCAAGAGCTTCAAATCCATATGTATTCAACTACCTCCTTAACATGTCCCTTGAACATACAAGGCACCTCTAACTTGAGTCTAAAATGACACTCTCAATCTGTGCTCTAGTACTTGTCACCCCTCACTCCCTTTCACCATCAGCAAAACCAGAAATAGAGGAGTTATTTTTGAGACATCCCTAGGAATTCTCTCATATGCTCCCACATCTACCTTCTCTACAATCATAAGTCCAATGCCGTATATCCTTTGGAAAATTATTTAGCCTCGCCAAACTTCAATTTATCTGCAAAATGGAGGCAATAGTTCTCACCTCCTGTTTTTGTCAAGAGTAAACTAATAGTGGCAATAAGAAACTTAATTCTCCTAACTGGTCTCACCCACCTCCAAGTGCCCAAAACCAAAACAAAGTATGACACATTACAGGCTTCAAGAAACATCAGGTAAATCTTTAGTACTCTGGGATTAAACTAAAGATCAGGCCCACACATCTTTGAATTTGGCATATGATATAGCTCCTGCCTATCTTTCCTAATTTCTTCCATGTGCTTCTGATTCAGACTCATCATACCACTTGAATTTACTACAGTACCACCTCTATTGGGCCTGCCCCAATGAATCTGTTTTTTGTTGTTGTTTTTTTCTGTCTTTCAATGCTTATTGCTGCACTGATTATCACATTACTAGCTATCCCAATTTTAAAGAAGAGGACACTGGAACTCAAATAAGTTTAATGACTGGCCAGAATCACCTAGGCTGGAGACTGGACAAATGTCAAAGCAATGCACTATACTAGAACTTCACAAACTTTTCCAGTGAGTACTTCCGTTGAAAGAATTTAACTCCTACTCGAGAGGTCAAGGAAGGCAAGTAACACAAGCTGCTCCTACCAGCCTGGAATACCATGTTTTATCCTCCATAAATCATTGTCAAAACTCTGAACAAGTCAAGCTGAGGACAGGAGCCCCTCAAATAAAGAATTCCCTTTACGTACTTTAAACCATAAATATAAATCTAAGTTTGTTCTGTTTGATGCAAATCCACTCCAACAAACTATCTTCAGCTTTCATTTTCATCTTCTCCACAAGGATATAAGACACAGTGTCATACACAGTGTCACATGCTGCAGTTAAATCAAGCACTGCCAATGTGTTTAGGAAGAGAACTGCTGCCCTGACGACACTCCCAAGATCCCTAAGATGAGAAAGGTTGAAAACAAAAGGAAATCCAGGGATCCTAGGCCAAACTTGAGTTTTCTTAGGACAACACTCACTTCTCCAGAGCAAGGCTTCTCAACCTGGGCACAAGATAAAAAATTAAGCCAGATAATTTCTTGTTATGTGTAGGTCTTCCCTATGCATTGTGTGTTGTTTACCCTTTACCTACTAGATGCCAACAGTATTCTACCCCCATTATGAGATCCAAAAATATCCAGACACTGCCAAATAACTCCTGGGGACAAAACTGCCCACAGTTTAGTGCTCTAGAGCAGCAGTTTTCAACCCATGTGCTGCAGCAGGCACACCGGTGTGCCACAAGAATTTTTAAAACACGAATACCTGACTACTTAGTCAGGGGCACTGACTTTTTTCCCTTAGATTGTCAAATAAAAAAATGACAACAGCCAACACAACGACAGTTGTCCAGTGTGAATGAATCAAAAGTATATCATTTTTTTTGTCAGATGGGAAAAAAATATAGTATGGTGTGCCACATAATTTTAGTAATTAGTTTATGTGTGCCATGAGATGAAAAAGGTTGAAAATCAATGCTCTAGTGACAGCAGCTATATCGTTTTTCTGAGGGGTAAACATTAAATAGGAAAGTTCAAGCACCTTACTCTAGGAAAGTCGTGGGACTTGGCACCACTATAAAAGAAAAGAGTGTCTGTGGCTTCTTGACCCTAATTTTCCCTAAGGAAATAAACTGAGTAGGATTTGACTTACCTTCTTTACCAAAAAAACTGCAGGTGAGACTTCAAAAACAACCAGGGAAGGGAGTGAAGATAGAAAAAAATTTATGGTTGAGTCTCTACTTAGATGGCTACAACATTTGGCCTCTAGTCTAACAACACAGTGACAAAAGGAGCTAGCTCAACATGATACCATCCTATTTCGCCATTGTAATAATGAACATAACCTCATCTATTCCATCAATAACCATCCAATATGAACGCTAAAGATGTACATGCAAACATTCAAACAATCCCAAGAAAATAAAAATTGTTTTATATAAAGGAAGAGACTTCAACATCTACAATTCCATAAGCTGAGCCTTAGTGTTTAATAAAAGGCAGATCACTACCTTTGGCAGCTATTCCCTTAGTATTTGCTAATAAGTGAGAAAGCGAACTCAGAATCCTGTGGAAGTTTCCCAAGACAAAAGCTTTGGCAGAGGTGGAGTGGGGTGGAGTTTGCACAAACAGATTTATGCATATTTGAGAATATTTTTATTTTTACCTTAAAAATTTCAACTCTGCCTACTATATTTCACTCTTATTGCTTTTAAGCTTCTACAATTTTATGTTTCCCTAGGAAACCATATTATAAGGTCTGTTTTAAATAGCCTCCTAAAGATCTAGACAAAATGAAGAGTTTGACAGTTGATATAAACTATGTAGTGACATTTCATGAGCTTCAGATTTCCCATCTCTAAAGTGGAAATAAAATCTACTTCTGAAGTTGCTGTGAGAAGCAAATTAAGTCCTGCATAGCCAGGATCTGGGCACCTAGAATACACTCAATAAATTGTTACTATTGTTACTTCTCTGAAACTCCTTTCTTCCACCAACTATAGGGAAGAACAATGTGTTTTGGAGACAAAAGAAATGCAAACACATGTAAGTATAAACTGTGATAAAGCAGGTTAGGGCAAAAGAAAAAGTGAAAATTGCTCTGGCCAGTTTGGTTCAGCGGTTAGAGCGTCAGCCTATGGACCAAAGAGCTGTGGGTTTGATTCCAGTCAAAGGCATGGACCTCGGTTGCAGTTTGGTCCTGGCCCGGGACCGGGTCGTGCGGGAGGCAACCAATTGATGTGTCTCTCTCACATCGATGTCTCTCTCTCTCCCCACTTCCCAGTTATCTGAAGATAAATTTTAAAAATATCCTCAGGTGAGGATTAAAAAAAGAAAGAAAGAAAGAAAGAAAGAAAGAAAGAAAGAAAGAAAGAAAGAAAGAAAGAAAGATGCTGTGCGTTGTGTTTGAGAATTACTGTGTGAATTACATCTGGTATTCAGCAATTCATGATATATGAAAGCCAATGTTGCTTACCACTGCAAGAAAAAAAGACAGAAAGAGGAAGAAAGAAAACCATAGGAATAAGACTAGGTGGGTCACACATGATATGTAATCCTACAATGACAACTCTTCCAAAGAAATCTCGGGTTAGATTTCACTGTTTATCTAATTAATTAAATTCCACTGCAAACAATTTTTCTTCCCAGTAGCCAAAAGGTCTGAATTACCCTAAGAGAATAATTCCTTACCAAACATCTTCCCAAAGAAAAAGCAAATGTTCTTCAATTCTTTTCTGTAGTAAATACGGAACAGACGGTTGAAATGAGGTTGCTGGGAAATATACTTCCAAACACTTCTTTGAAGGGCCCCCAAAATATGTGCCATTAAAAGGGTCCTGATAACACAAGTAATTCATAAGCATCCATCCCACAAAGGTCAGGCAGCAACACTTCCACAGTTGCTTGCCTTCAGTTGGCTCCTGGTAGGCCGGCCAATAACAGTCATAATCTTTCCAGTAATTAGATCAAGGAAGGCCAGCAGACCTTGGGGGGTTCTAGTGCAATCCCATTCATTTTACAGAACAGCTTGAGGCCGGGAGTCACATTAACCTCAGCCTTTTGATTGAAAACCCACTCACAACCCAAAGCTCCTGATACCTGGTACAAAGCCCAACACACAGTCTGGAAGGGGCAGAAAGGCATGGGCCCTTGTCAGACTGTCTGCAATCTCACCCAGCTCTTCCACAAACTGTGACCTTGAGCACCTTAAGTTCGGTGTCTCATCTCCATCCACCTCTAAAATGGGAGCCAGCCCCACAGCCTGGGACACGTTCCAGGGCTCCCACGCTCCCTGGCCGGGCGCTCGGCTGCAGCTCCCACCGTGCCTGGCGCTCGCCGCACCCACCTGCACGTTAGGGAAGGCGGTCTTGAGCAGGTAGAACATCTTGCGGTTGGACAGCACGTCCCCGCTGGTCATCTTGTCGTCGGCTCCCTCGCGCGTCTTCCCCTTGGACTTCTCGTGGAGGACATTGCTTTCGCGGACGCGCCTCACTTCGTCGCCTCCGCGGACGGCGGCCAGCACCGACACGGCCAGCATCTCGCGCAGGTCCACGGTGCCGCCGTCGGCCGCGACCACGGGGCCCGCCGGACCGCCGCCGGGCTCGCTGCCCAGGCCGAAGAGGCTGAAGCGGCCGGCCAGGAAGCCGGAGTAGAGGTGGTAGAGCACGCCGAGCCCCAGCAGGCAGAACACGGCCACCCCCAGCGGGGACAGGCGGATGCCCATGGGGGCCATGGCGCCAGAGGCCGGGCGCTCCGGGCGGCGGCCTTCACAGGCCTCCCCGCGCACGCCGCCGCCGCTCTCCCGAGCCAGGCACCGCGCCTACTACACCGGCGTCCGCTCCCCGGCGCCCGCGCGCCCCATCGCTCCTTCCAGGAAAGGCCGCGCCGCGCCGCGAAGCGCACCTTCACCGTCCCGCGTGCCAACTCCCCGGAAGGCGCAGCCCCGGCTCCACAGCCCGCCAGCGGTCTCACATCCACGTTACCCAACTGGCTGGAGGTGAAAGGTAGCGTGGGTGTGTATCCGGGTTACGCAGGAGGCGGGGCGAGGGTAAGGGGCGGGGCGGGCTCCTCCCGGGGGCGGGGCGACTGCGGGGGCGGGACAGCGGCTCTGTGCTCCGGCTTGGGTGCCTCCTTTCCTGGGGATCCTGCGGTATTTGGGTTTTCAAATTGCTCCCGGAGGTGGCACAGCTACTTCCCACGCAGCGAAGACTACTGAGAGCCTTGTGAAAGTGTAATCTCGCTTTGGACATCAGTGTATGGTTGAACTAAAGCCATAGTGACAGTTCCGACTGTTGAGGAATGGAAGAAAATAAGTCATTTTCAGAGAGATCTGCAAGCTTTTTTTGGTCAGCGTTGTGTTTTTAAATCGCCTCTCTGCACACTGGCAGGTAGAGCAGGAGGTGAGAGGTGACAGGAGGAATTTTACTTGTCTCTATTCTTTTGGCATCTCTTGCAATCTAAATGCTTATGCATTTATATCCGTCTGTGTACTGTGTACAGATATCACGCGTTACCTTTACCTGACAGTATGAACCATTCTCTGTTGTCAGCAATTTTCAACCTTTTCCATTTATGGCACACATAAACTAATTACTAAAGTTCTGAAGGACACCAAAAATATATTTTTTGTCAATCTGACAAAAAAATAGGTATAATTTTTATTTGGTCACACTGGACATCTATCATTGTGTTGGCTGTTGCGATTTTTTGACAGTCTAGCAGCGGTTCTCAACCTGTGGGTCTCGACCCCTTTGGGAGTTAAAGGACCCTTTCTCAGGAGTTGCCTAAGACCATCGGAAAACGCCTATTAGGAACACAAACACCGCTCCTCTGTCGTCTCTAGGCGGGTCGCCCACATGCAGACACGCCCACATCCAACGTGAGGAACAGTGTTAAAGAGTCCCAGCATTAAGGAGGTTGAGAACCACTGGAAGGGGAAAGAGGTCAGAGCCTCTGATTGAATGGTCAGGCACTGTGTGTTTTAGAAATTCTTGCAGAACACCAGTTGAAAATTGCTGCTCTATGTAGCTGAAAAACATGCCTTGTTCCTGGGATTTCGTAATGAAAAAACACTCCAGCTTTCTCTCACTTCCAAAGACACTTTCTTATACTTTCCTCCCAGAGGCCAAGGAGAGAGAGGGATTGCCTGAGCAAATACACTTGATAAAAAGTTCCTCCCAGGATGTTCAGTCAAGCTAGAATATGTCATCTTTGAGTCAACATAGGCCCTCCAAATGTACTTACAGAAGCCTTTAATAGAAATAACTGCCTTCTACTATGCCACTGATCTTAACAAAAATAGTAAATATTTAAATATAATTAGTATTGGTAAGTTTATCACACATCTTAACAGTGAATATTAAGATGTGCAGTATCATTCTTAAATGTTAGAATATTTACATAAAATGAACTTAAAATGTGGCCTATTTTACTCTTCATAGCCAAAAGTCATTGGTTTTAAGTGGGCTTTAATATTAATGATGTAAAAAACTGCAAGTATACAGAATGGATTCTGAACATCCATTGCTGAGCAAGTCATCAGAGACAGCCTGTCCTTTGCCACTTTCTTAGAGTTTCAGGGCATCTGTAGGATTTGCTTGTGGTTATACAGATACAATCAACAAAGATTATCGATTGCTTGGTTTCCCTGCCAGCAATCTGTAACAAGCTTAAAAATAATCCCAGCACAAAATCAAGTACAAATACAAATCAATGAATGAAAGAACATTTCCTGGAATGTTAGCATCACCAGATCTTAAGGAATTGGCACTAACCGTCCTTATCAGCTTTGGGAAGCACCTTTAAAATTAAACAAAGTTTCTTTAAGAAGAAATCTGAAAGTAAAGGTCACCAAGTTCAAGGATAAATATAAAAATTAAGGGCTGAAGTATAAATTCAGCAGAACCACCTGAAACTACACTATGAGATCAACAAAATGTATGAATTGGGTAGTAGTTATGAAAATACTCAAAGCATCCTTGGAAACCTGACTGAGGTTTGTAAAAATGAACTGAACATTATTTTCCAAGGATATTGGAAAGGAATATCAAACCACAGTCGCTGTGACACTATACAAAGCATCAGTGAGACAACTAGAGAGAGATGAAGAGCTCTGGAGCATTTTCACTACAAAACAAGGGATTTAAGAATTGAGGGAGAACATGCCAAGGCATGTGAAAAGAATGAGAAAGAGTTTAAAGATCATATTTTCAAGATGTGCTCTAGTAGTACTCAGGTGACAGTTGATAAAAAATAACAAGTAATCATTAACAACTTCATAACAAGAAGAAAAAAATTTAATTAATTATGTGTGGAACAGTAATGCTGTCTTAAAACCTTCATAGGAATTTGAAAGAAGTGTGCATTTTCAGTAGCAAGTTGTTAGAACCTTCAAAAATGTATTTATACTAATGAAAATTATATATGAAAGTAAATGTAAAATAATTTGTGAATTTGTGGTTTGTAGATTGAGGCTAACTGATCTTTCAAAATTAACCTTTTGTCTAGTTATTGAGGGAAACGAGGATTACCTCTTCTGTGTAAATACCAATAACAACAAAAATTGACATACAGTAGAAACTTAATAACCTTCCACTTAGTTGGCTTGCCAGACACCGCTCCCCACCATCTGTGTGCTCACACCCAACAAGGTTAAGTGCTCTTGGGGCACTGGCCCCCTTCACTCCCGCTACTCGAACTCTGTATACTTCTTGAGTGAGTCTATTTCAACTCCATTTTGCCATTGTGGTTATCTTTATAAATATATATAAATTAAATATGTAAAACATATTTTAAATATGAATATAAATATAAAGTTGAAAGCTTTAGACGACTTGATATAGGTGAGTCGCTAAAATCTAAAATTGCCGTTATATTAGTTTTTGCAGCAAACACTGTAGCTGATTGTGAAGTAGAAGAATAAAAAGTTCAAACAGAGGCTGAAAGTAGATTGCTTGACTTAAAAGAACCTAAGGTGGTCATCCTAGATGATGCATTACTCATATGATTGAAATAGATGAATCGATTAAAGATAAGAAAATGTGGTATACACACGATGGAATATTACTCAGCCACAAAAAAGAATTCAATCTTGCTATTTGTAACAACACGGATGGATGGACCTTGAGGTCATTATGCTAAGTGAAATAAGTGAAACAGAGGAGGACAAATACCATATTATCTCACTTATAAGTGGAAACTAGAAAAACAAGTTAAATGACTGAAACTAAAACAAAACAGATACAGACCCATTAATTTAGAGATAAAACTGATGATTGTCAAGGGGATAGGGAATGGGAATAAAAAATATTTAAGTCACATATTGTATAATTCTATTCATATTAAACATCCAGAACAGATAAATCCACCGAGACAGAAAATAGATTAATGGCTGCAGGGGCTGGTGGGTGGGGGGGATGGAGAGTGACTGCTAATGGGCCCAGAGTATCTTATTGAGGTGATGAAATATTCTGGAAATAGACAGTATTTATAAGAAAGAAAAATGAACTGCAAGTAGTAAATATACTCAAAGAAAAGCCCATGCCTTATATAAAAAAATAGGCAAATGATAATATATGGACAACTTTTGAGTGTTTAAGATGTCTAGGTTTTTTCTGCAATTTCCCAACATTAATTGTGTTTTCTTAATTAACTGACACACTTCAATTCTAATTACATCCAACAAAGGACCTCTCCTAAACATCTGGGTTTTGCTACCTTTCTACAAATACCATCTTTCCTTAAACTCTCCATTACATGTGAAATAAATGATACCCATTAATGAAACATTAACATCTTAAAAGATGAGGATATTTTGGTTTGCTTGAATAACTCCTGACCCCAGAATTTACCTTGAAGAAACTGGTGTGTGTGTGTGTGTGTGTGTGTGTGTGTGTGTGTGTGTGTGAAAGAGAGAGATCTGCCAGTTAGTTTTCTTGTGTTTTTTTTTTTTTTCTTCTTCTTTTTTTTAAAGTACTTTTTAAGGTGAAAATATAATTAATTAAAAGTTCAGGATAGTTGGACCCTAGGTAAAAGTGCTTTTACTACTTTTCTGAGAAAGCAAAACAAAACAAAATCTTCATGTTTACATACCAAACATCCAAGATGAGTATTATTTGTAGTCTTCCTTAAATCATTCAATCCTATAAAAACAGTAATTCTGTTTTTTAATAAACCAGTGATATGGTGTGTGGTTCTGTCATTATAGTTGTATCTTTGGCAGCACATTCAATTCTTGGGACAATGGCTTTCATACATTAAGATTTTGGAAGGTTTATTTCTGATACATGATCTATATCATTCATATATATATATATATATATATATTACAAAAACAAATTTATTTGTACACACAACAGTGACGGAATGCAATCTTGTGTCAAATAGAGAATATTAAGATTCTTTTTTACTAAATGTTTTTATTGATTTTAGAGAGAGAGAGAGAAGCATCCATGAGAGAGAACTATCTATCCGCTGCCTCCTGCACGGCCCTCACTGGGGATAGAGCCCACAACCTGAGCATGTGCCCTGACTGGGAATCAAACCAATCAGCGACCTCTCAGTGCATGGGATAATGCTCAGCCAAATGAGTCACACCAGTCAGGGCAAAGATTAAGCTTCTTAAGTAGCTGATTTTGGGACCTTCTACAATGGGAAAACTTGCTTTGTTGCTTTCAGATGTTACTTCTCTTTACCTGACCCTTCAGCAGGCTTTTTGAATGTGTCTTCCCGCTGGGCCAGCTTTTCTAGTACCTTATGATATATAAGCTGGTGTTCTAGATAGCCTGTGTTCCTCTTCTGTTTATCCAGATCCCTCCAATGAAGCTTAAGAGCTCAGTTTCATCATTGGCAGAAGCCACAGTCTTCAAGTTTAGTAGGAGGTTGGTTAACTGGTTCTCCAACTCCAGAGCAGACTCTAGAGCATGTACGCCAGTTCCCCAGTTATCTCTATCAGGCCTCGTAATCACCAGAAGGCAGATGTTACCCTCAAATTTTCTTAGA